ATTAATAATAATTTTAAATTCACGCGAAGCTCGCGGGCAGCTTGCGAGCGGTTGGTGAGCTGCGCATTCGCTGAGCATCCACCAGATATGAACGCACCCTTAAATATTCTTATAAAAAACTTCGTGAAACAAGTTTCGATCTAGTACCAACTCTCGAAACAAATGAAACCAGCAATAAAGAGCATTGAAACAAAACGTTCACTCCAAGATAAAGAAAACGGACAGACAATATAATATCAATAAAGTTCATTTTACTACATCAGTCCCGCTAGGATTTATTTTATCTTTGTGGCTAACGAGTAACTTCCCTTAACGGCTGCCTACTGCATCTGCTGGGGGAATTGCGCATTTCTTTTTATTTGTTTGTAATGACAGAGTTAAGTGCCTTCGGATTTGATTCCTTGAGCATAATTGGATTGTCTCGTTTCAATTAGAAGGATTTTGTTCGAAGTCAAAGGAAGTTTGCTATAGACGACTGACAATTCTTTACTGATGAATAAATAATCAGTTGATTTACTCTCTACATTACTGATTCACAAAGGCTTCGCACGTCATTCCAAAACGTACCTATGTACGCTGAAGTGGTACGGTGTGACAGTGTTTCACTTTTCCCTTTTCGTAATATTTTTTTCATGAAGGCATTGCGTTACAAAGTTTCTTTTAAAACCCCATTGCCGTTAAATTCCTTTGAAGCTGTTTTATAATTTTGTACGCTGACTAAGTCAGCTGTTTTATGCTTTGTAATGTTATTATCATGAAAAATAGATTCTATCTGAAGTTACGTTCGGAAAACAATTTTAAATTCTGCTTCGACTTCACTTAATTTCGAAGATCTTTTACTGATTGACTCATAAACATCTAAGACGTACGTCTCATGTGGTCCGGACACAACAAATGTTTGGTCATCTAACCAGAAGTCAGAACAGAATATAACTATTTTACTTAGTGATTATATCAAATATTTATTTAAATAGTAAAGTTAGAAATAATATTAAATACCTATACAAGTGAAGGCAACTGTTGCAAGAGTGATGAAATCACAGATGCGCTGACATGGCGCCGACGTATGAGCTTATTATTTAAAGTTATTGGAGCGATGTCTCTGTGAAATACTTATTTGTGATATTTTGCTTCTATTTTCCACAGGGGATAGGTGCGTATGAAAAGTTCACTCATGTTGGGAATACTTTTTCCCCATCAACATAATGTGCTTTGCGTATAGTTAAAGAGGCTTGGAAAAAGAAAATATTTTAACGCCTCTTTTCAGTTGTTGTCGTCTATTGAGAAAGAGAAAATTGGTCAGTCCGCTATTAAAACAGTTGTACTTGTAACCTCTAGACCTTGAAGATACATATTATATTTATGTTTCATATTAGTATGTAGTATTGGTATGTAGTTTATGTACTAGGATACCTTTATACATATGTACGTACATTTATCACCCTCGTTTTTATTTTTTTTCGATAGATGCAAACTTCTTTTAAAGCCTACTGTAACACTTCTCTGCATCACCTTATGGTTGGCTGGTAGAGAATGCCATTCGGCATTAAGTCCGCCATTGTATACAGTTGTACATAAAGTGTTAAATAAATAAATAAATAAAAATACATATAATAGATAATAATGTAACACAGTATGAAGAAAACTGCTTACGATAGCAGAAAAAAGGTTGATATAGGTCCAGGGATCAGAATATTGTTTGTTTGCTCTTGTCTGTCACGCTTTGGATAATCATATTTTGATTTTGGATGATGGAGGTGAGATTTTATTCTATGTTATGGTTTGAACATACGAAAAAATTTCGTGTTGGTCCGAAGGCTTAAGGCGCCTGCTTCTAATGCATGGCAGGTTCGAAACCTACAAACGGCAAGTAGCAACATGGCTTTTTCTCAGTTATTATGTACTTTAGGATTATTTAGACAAACGGTGAAGCAAAACATAGTGAGAAAACCTGAGCTTTTTAGCTTTAATTTCTAGTTGTTATAAGTTTAAAATCGCCAACCCGCATTTAGAAAGCGTGGTGATTAATGCTTAAACCTTCTCCGTGTAAGAAGAGGCTTTCCTCAGCAGTGGGCATTTATAGGCTGTTGATGATGTGATGTGATGGTTTGAACAAGAGTGAAGGATGTGAATAAAATAAAGATAATAATGGCAACAAAATAATAATAGCTTAATAACAAAGATAATATGTTCTAAATGGAGTGATTACTTTTAGCTAGCTTATTTACTAATGTATCTGATCGTAATATACCTAATAAGAACTGTGCGAGCGGCCTTTTGTAGGAGCCAATAGGCAATATGTTTCACGTCCTTCGCGATACCTGACTAATGGCTAGTAACTGATTAGATTTATAAGTTATGGCCTGCCCAGATAAAGTACTAGTGTGGGCGCATGTTGGAGCTCTGCCCATCTCCTCGTTAGTGAAAACTATCAAAACATGAAAACAAAGTTAGTAATATAATTTATTATCTACATTGCTGGTCTACGATATTGACCGATTTGCCTGTATTACTTTTATACGCCTATGTTAAGGCACCTTGATAAATGGCTGCTTAGTAACGGAACCTATCGGCTTTTTAAATCGGGTCCTAGATCTATGCAAAAATAGAATACGAAGTGGATAAATTATGGTTAGCGTTTGCAAAAGATATGCTAATATTTCTGTTCAAATACTATCAAAAAATAATTTGATTATAAATAATATAAGGTTGTATTAAAATAAAATAATGATTAAATATGTATAAACAATTTGGTGTATTTTCAATTACGTCATAAGTTAATTTTGTGCTGAAATACAAAAATAGAAAAGGGAATATAACGGTATTCGTACAGACAATATAATATTTATAACTAAAAATGAAGGCACAATATTATTAAGATGGCAACATTTTTCTTCCTTGTATAGTTTATTTACGAGGAAGGGTCAGTGTACCTGAGTGACGTCACAGGCAGGAGTTATGTCGGACCTTTGAGTAAATATGGCTTTCATTTATCTAGGCCTTCATTTAATTAAACACTTAATGTTATTAAACCCCAGGGAAAATAGAACAGTGTAAGAAAATTGTGAATCGTCGGGTTACTTTTAAAAGTGTTGCGTTTTCAGATTTAAAGAAATTTTTGTTAATAAATATATTTTTATTTAATTTTTTTATTTACACAATTCACAACCACAGAAAAGAGAATTTCCCTTTTCTGTGATTTTAACCATTGAAACATAAGAACAAAGTGTTAGAGGGATTTGCTATAGATTAATTGACTGTTTGCTACCTATATCAATTAGGAAGCACTAACAAAGCCAGTTTATCAAAAATATTTGTATAAAATTAATTGGGCGTTTTTCTTTCGATTTCGACTGATTGCTCACCTATGTTGCAGTACATAAAACGATAGTAAGTATACATTTTTGTATCAAAAATACCTACGTAAGCGTAACAACAGTAGTGGAATACATAACTTCACTTTTGACGTCGATCTTCATGCATCAAACATCACTAGAACGTGAATAATCACATTGCAATGATTGCTATTGTGAATGATCAAAGGGATACGTCATCATGGACAGAAGTGATGACACAATGACGATACTGATGAAATAGCCAATAAGCAACTTAGCTTCAAAATTCTTCGTGACCTAATTGGACAGTTAATGTTTTTCTATTTTCTGAACACGACTGAATTCTAAGTGCCTATTCCATTAACAGCCAAATATTCGAAATGATATTTTGATTCGGAATTTGACTAACATTAGCAGAAACAAATTGCGTCGACTCCCATTTTAAATTGAATCGACGGCGACGATGGCTTCTTGAAACATTTTAATAATGTATTTACGTTATTTTTAGCATTTATTCCAATACCGAAAAGAATTGGGAGACCTGTTTTTGTTAAAACATTTAGGCATTCAAAGTAAACAATAATTTAATGAACAGCTTATATTGATATTTATGGCTAGTACACGTAGACTAGATTTGTCCATGATATCTCTTTGGATTAACAAACTGAAAATCGGGAAAAGTTGGTAGCGTGTTTCAAAGTTGACTTAAACCAAACTGTTGTTGTTTGACAACACCTTTACAGAATAAAATTACTTAAAATTATATTTATTGAAAACGTATGTATGTAGGTAGCCATAGGTAAGCTAAAGCGAGTTTACCCAAACACAATTTGATCCCGTGTTCCAAACAGTAGTGATGACTTAATCAGTTTTCCAACGATAATCCAGTTTCATCTGGACTAGAAGCTTTTTGAATTTGGAAAAACTAGAGTTGTAAATATTGACCGTCGGAATCCGTCAAATTTTAGTTTTTTCTCCCGTACAGATTGAATAAGGTGCATATTTAACTTAATAGAAGTCACTAGTCTAAACAATTAATAATTCACTCGATTAGTGAATGGAACCTGATACTCTTCGCTTGGTAGTCGCATGACTATCTGATAAACAAGGCAGTCAAATATTTTACGAGTAGGAATAAGTAATGGTGCTATTTTTCGAAGTAAGTTCAAAGAAAAATCTGAATAAGAAATGAACTCAATCAAAACTCATGTCCAAGTTATTTTCATTTTATCAGTGTTATATGTAAATATACAGAATGCTGTGAATTTTCTTCGAAAGACTATATAATACAGGAGTAGGCAATTTATACGTATATTTGAGCCATGTTTCTGAATGATCTAAATTGGTATAAAATAATTTTCGAAATTACCAAGTATCTCATTTCAGGTAAAAATTCTTAAGTTCTAACTTTAGTTTGGATTGGCTATGTTTTTTATATATAAGAATAAATTTTTACACGTTTCACGGACAGACGAAATACGGAACTATAATTAGCAGATCAATGGATTAGTACAAATAAATATGTAATAACTTTATCATGTTTGCAAGTGGACTGCTGAACAATGTGATATTAACAAAGACGAGAGATACGTCCAAATATTCCTCCTCCTCACCTCTCCTTCAAGTAATTCAGACATTGTGTTTGAAGTCTTAATCTAGACTTACCTTTCCTTCCTCAGTTCGCTGCTTCTTTTACGGAAACTGGCGACGAGGACCTGCAGCTCCGTGGAGTGATGCTCGTAAAGTTGCGACAGTTGCGTCGTAAAGTCAGCCACTGGAACAAATGTAGGTTTCTCAGACAAAAAGTCAAGGACAAGTCTACTTTGTAGGTTCAGCCAGTAACAGATAGAAGACTTTTTCAGAATATACTACATACATATATATAACATCACGCCTTTTATCCCCGAAGGGGTAGGCAGAGGTGCACATTATGCCACTGTACAATGTGACACCCACTTTTCACTATTTATGTTATGAGTCCCATGTAATAGGGGATGAGCCTATTGCCATATACCGGGCACAATTCCAGACTCCGTGGTACTACTGAGAATTTTGTAAAAACCCAGTAATACTTTGCCCGACCCGGGAATCGAACCCGAGACCCCTTGCCCGGCAATCGCACTTGCGACCACTGAGCCAACGAGGCAGTAGAATATACTAGCTAAATTGTTTTATTTATTCCCGGAATTATACACTGGTGAGATATAAAATTAAAGTCTATGTCAGTCTATATCATATTAAACTGAAAAATGTCGGTACATATTTGTCTATTCGTACAGAGAATTAAAAGTCGATATTATAACACTGAAAGTTCTGCCAATATTAAAATAGAGCTGAAGTAATTAACAACAAAGTTCCTAATTTCAAGTATCCTTTACTAAGAAGCAATATCTAAATTACCTAATTTAAACAAGCAGCCTACAAGAATATTCTGGTTAAAATAACTAAACACACGCAACATTTGTTCTATAAACTTTAGGATCATGTTTACCAAGAACTTGTATCGAACGCACTACCAATACACGTGATTTTACATCGTTCATTATAACTTAATAATGTTAAAAACGAGCATTGTTCGCGGAGGTTGAATACATTGGTTAATTACAGGTGCACCCTGAGGCTAAATTAAATAATTTTACGTAGTTGAAAGCTTCGTATTAGTTTGTCAGTGAAGTTTTCCTTGAAATAAGGGCTGGTCGTACACTAGTAATTACATTGTTCTTGATAGAAATTAATATATATAATTTGTGAGAAGATTGAATTGCCTGTTATAACGGGGACACTGTATGTCTTTTAAAATAGAGATTCACAATTTTTTTGATATGAATGCATAAATTAACACCCATTTTACACCGGTTAAAGTCACTGAGAGTGAACTATTCGTGAGCTGCGGCCAACCTAAGGGGTTTAGCGGGGCTCCGGCTCAAAGCTGGCGTAGGACTGGGTGGTATTTAGCAAGTAAGATTCTGACACTCTTTCTCGGCTCACCCAAGGCGGGAAAAGTCATTATATGATTTTATACCCTAATAAGGGGTGTACAATGAACGTTAGCCGGACAAGATTCTACACTTTGTGATATTACCTACTACATTTTTGAGAAACTGAACTAAACCACAGCATTGCAAAATTGCCTTCCGTAGTCTGGAGGTGTTTTTATTGTAATACATTTTACTATGCGACGATTCTTAGCACCTGCACCATTTCAGTGGAACTCGCGACTCGTGTTAAAGTTTGTGTCTCCGAAACACGCGACGCGACATTCCGATCGTCTAGTTTTCCGTTGTTTGATCCGAAAACTTTAATCTCCTGTCTTGCGAGTGGATTCTAGTTTATACGACACCTTTTCTTTAAAGTAAAATGGTAGATTATGCATTACATTTGCCTATATTAAATAATTTAGATTTAGTAGAGAAAAGTAACTGAGATATTTTGCTGAGCATTACACATGCTAATAAAAATACTAGGTATATCATCTGATAATGACTGTATAATAAAAATAATTTCATGAAAATAAGATCACGGCGTATTTATTATTAAACCATTTACACTAGGTTATTCAAATGAATAATTAATTTTGAAAACATTAGCAAAGCAAAATGGGCATGTAATTATTTGCCTTTGCGTAACCAAACGGTGTAAATGAACAATACCTACAAATCATGCACAGAGCGTACGTTTTAACAAACTAATTTAATTAGCTGCTACTGAGTAAATATGTTGGAGGTATTTCATTTAAATGTTGCTTTACTGAAGCCGAAAATTGTTCAAATTATATTCAAAATACAATTCTTTATTCTTCGTTAGTTAAATTAGATGCTTAAAATTGAGTAGGTACTTTTATTCCATGAGAAATGAAAGACATAATAAAGTGGACTCCATCACAGTGGACAGTAGGTAGCGATTATTGTACTAAATTATATTTATAGTTTTTAACCTAGCCATCTTCTGTAACTATTGGACGGTTCAGTAGCCAACCAATGAATGGTAAATGTGACTGTACTGAATCAATCCTTTTTCTTCCTGGCATAGTAAATAACTATGAAGACTCTACACAAGTCAACAAAACTAAATAAATAATTACCTACTTAATTTGATTTAGGTCAGGGATATTCTGAATATTACGATCGCCGCGCTTCGCCTCATCGTAATTGCAAACAGCTTTGTATTAACCCAGGAACTTAGGTATCCACGGCTTCTATTAATCCTAACTTCACTTCCAGCAACTAATTTGTAATTTACTCAGAAATTGAGCAAAGTTGAGTTATATGTGTTTAATTAGTTAATATGTATTGGTTCAAGTATATCTGAACTTCATTAAGTAAATTCAACAGACCAATGCGGATAGTTGAAAATCCCAATCAATCAATGACCATGGTAATTGGTTATCCAGAACCCACTTTCAACTAGTGTATTTGAATATAGAAAAAGTTACGTGTGAGGAACGTGGTTTGCGCCCATCTTCATAAAAGGTTTCATAAGATGAATTTAATAATGAAACGAAGGTACATTAATAAATATTCTGGGTTATTAAAAAAAGACTGCCACGATGGCCAAGTGGTCGCAAGTGCGACTGCCGGGCAAGGGGTCTCGGGTTCGATTCCCGAGTAGGGTAAAGTATTACAGGGTTTTAAAAAAAATCTCAGTAGTAGCACAGAGTCTATGAAATGTGCCCGGTGTATGGCAATAGGCTCACCCCCATTACTTGGGACTCATAACATAAATAGTGAAAAGTGGGTGTTACTTCTGTGTGCACCTCTGCCTACCCCTTCGGGGATAAAAGGCGTGATGTTGTGTTAAAAAAATGCGCGATGCATATACATAACTTGAACTTGTCAGTAGGTGCCTAATATAGAAAAATGATTTCATCAGTAAATCATATTCCGAAAATTGAATACGAGAGAATTTTAGCCTGTTATGTTAAAGGCCTGGTTTCATGAATTATGTACGGAATATGGTAAAACGTCAAGATGTTACACCCTGCTACAATGGTGAGATCAATATTATAATGCAGTGAAACGAACCTTTTTTTATCAAGTGTGGTTTATTTTTAGACTCAGGCGCGTAAAGCCGAAATGATCACTTGAAGGTCCTTAAAATATATTTTCCTTTTTATTCGCTACACATTCGCAACTTTCAGTTTGTGTAGTAAATTGATGGTGCTTACATCCCTATTCCGAACCGAGTGTATAATAAAATAAGAGCATCGTACGGCAACATAATATTTATTTTTAATAGCTTTTTTTATTTATCTTATAATTTTGGCTATGGCTGAGACTTATAACAAACAATACAATTATAAATAAAATATGTTTACGAATAGTTTAATTTCTATCACGAAGCGACCTCTACTTTGGTCGAATTGACTTTGTAAACCTAATTGAATTATTAAATCAGAACTCTGAGTGAGAGTGTCCATTTTATTATTGTTCACCAGTTTAATAAATTAAAGTAGTTTATTATTTACTGAACTTGAAACGACCTCTATATCAAGCTGTCTCTTCTAATAATTTATTCATAGAAAACAAGTATCGTATATTCTTGGAAAATAATAAAGGTTCGCAATCATAAAGTAAATAAATCGTTCCCTTGGTTCCCATTACAGTGACTTCAGGACAGTAAGAACACTGAAACTTTAGTTGGAACAGAGTAAAAATAAAGTTAAAAGTTTTCACAAGTTTCGAGACGTTCGCCCCTGACCAAAGTCTTTCGATTCTGAATATTCTATGTAGGTAACAACGGCTTTGCAAACTTTATAAATTTTATATAAAGTCATGCATAGAAACAGAAAATTTTTGGATCTATCCTGGCTGAGTAGGTAGCGTGAAAAGATAAATCAGTCTAGATAGGGCGACGTACTTCGGAATCCCTTTAGAACTTTATTCGTGCTCTTTACAAAGAGCTTTATTAAACACTAGCGTTTCGCCTACGACTTCGTAAAATGTAGTTACGGTACATAGGTACACACACATACGTATTAGGTACGTGTATAAAACCGTCGTATAAGAAACGAAATAGTTTCAGAGAGTACCTACCTACACATATGAATAACACTAAAACTTTCAAAGGTTACATCCCTAGGTAGATCAATGTATTACTGATATATCGAATTTTGAAAATATTACTGGTTACGTTCCCCGTAACCTTTCACAAGAAAAAATGTGCCCGGTATTTGGAAAAGACGACAAGTCAAAGTGAAAAAAGAAAAAATAATTAGGGAATGCTTTAAATATAATATGATATTTAATTTTATTTTACACCACTAAACTTAAAAAACTGACAGTTACGAATGTATACTTTGCCAATAAAAAGAAAATATACTTACCTATAGCAATAATAAAATGAGCTTTTATTGCTGTAAGTAGTAAAATTACCAAAAAATACAGTTGTAACCAAAGTTATAACATAAACATACATAACTTCACACCTGTCTCCCAGTTGTATCAAATACCAGATAGCAATCATTGGTACGGAAGACAAATTTTGAAAAACGTCTTCGTTTGTTTGTACCACCGGTCGATATTAAATCAACAAGACAATGTGCTTCAGTATTCAGCGTCATAATCTCATTCGCCGAAGTAATCAGTAATAATTAATTCATCCATTAACCAGTAAGCATCTAAGCATATTACACCAGTAAGAACATTAATAATAATCGGATCATGTTGTAGGTTTGTGTATGTAGGATACGATTAAACTAACGGTGATATTTGTTTCAGGAAATCAATTTTGAACCTATTGGAACTCGTTAGGCAATCTTAATCAAAAAAGCCAAAA